TTCGCTTTCGGCCCGCACGGCCGAACGCATCCCCAAGGGGTCTCATACGTTCGGGCGTTCGGGTTCGGGCGTTTGGCCCGTCCCGAACCCCAATCCCCTGTATATATGTATATATTCGGTTCGATAATAATGCAACAATAATTATTAATCAAGATGGAAATCCAAGAGGAACACGTGTTTTTGGACCTGTAGCTAGAGAATTAAGAGAAGAAAAATTGTTTCTTTAGCTCCAAAAGTTCTTTAAACTCTGTTTTATTCCAATTTATTGTTTATTTCCTGATTTTGAGTTTTAATTAATTAATAAGAAAATATGTTTTGGAAAACAAAAATCAATATGATTCAAAGACTTAATGCTCCGACGTTGCTAGTGCAAGGAACATGAATATGGACGAAGCACAGAAATCCAGATTGCAAAATCACACTGAAGTCCAAGTAGTCAAAGCAAGAGCAGATAGCACAATGGAACCGAGTAACCATCCATTTGAGAACGATACAGAAGAATCGTGAGTCAATGTCCAAGCCCAATAGGGCAACACCAACAACATAACCCAATGTAGCTCTCTCTCTTGAATGGCGCCAGGCGCCCTACCTACTCTACAGCCTATCACTACAACTACAGTATGAAAGCAACCATACAACTTGACGACCAGCGAGTGATGATGTCAACACCAATGCCGACCTCCCATCTCCACCAGGTATGGCTGCCAGCGCCCTGCGCCCTCTGCCCTGGCTGCGCCCCTACGGCATAATGCTACCAACAACTTCCCTTAGCGCAGCGCAGCCCCTTGCAACGCAGCAGCGTGCCGACATTGCCTGCAATGGCCAAGATCCCTGCCCACTCGCCCTCCCTGCCTGTATGCCAGTGTTGTGTGTGGGCGGCCTCCCCTGCGCCTGTGCCTGGGCCCCAATACCTGTACCCAGGCCCGATGCGGTTGGGGCCCAGGAGTTGCAGTTGCGCCTCTTTCATCAAGGCCTGTGGCCAGATTCAGATAGTGGACCGGTTTCCCATTGGCATTTTCGGCCTCTATATCCAGCATGCATTGTCGGCCTCACGTTTATGTGCCCAGGGCCCCTCTATGTCCAGCATGCATTGTCGGCCTCACGTTTATGTGCCGAGTGCCTAACCAACTCTGGGGCCCTGGGTTGCTGCATTTGCAGAGCTCCGATACTCGGTGCACTCCAACCAACTGGCGTGCTGCAACTGTATGGACCCCACTTCGTGAAATGTTTGCACAGAGGGGCTCTTGTTGATTTGCTGGCCCGCCTTCACTTAGGGCGGGCACGAGGCTTGCTGGGGCCTTAGCCCAGAACATGTACATCATGGCAAGGCCCCTTCTGGAGGGCACAATCCTCACATTCCATCCCCCTTAGCTCCGAAAGTCCGTTGAGATGCTTACTTCGCAGGTGTCTTCCCTTTTAACATTCTCTCATACTCTGCCACCACTTGAGGAGCTATGCCAATCAGTTCCTCTCTGGTGAACCATCGGTCTTCCTTTGGATCTGTATGATGCCTGAATCTGACGCGATACTCCCGCTTGGGTTTTGGAGGTCTTCCTCTACTTGGCTTCTGAACAGGAAGATATCTGTGATCCACAATGTCGTCGATGTCCACTTGACCATCCATGGTTGGGGGCAGCATCGATCTCCTTGAAGGGAATTGATCTGTCTCAGCGAAAGGTGCAAGCTTTAAGGCATGAAAGACAGGGTGAGTGCGTAGGTGTCCAGGGATACGGATAACATAGGTAGGACCATCCATCTCATCCCCCACTATATCCAGGACTTCCCAGAGACCAAAATATTGAGGCATTAGTTTACGAGAGATTCTGAATTCCTGTCCTAGCTCACTAGCCTTAACCTAGACACGTTCCCCTACCTGAAATGAGGACTGTCGTCGATGCTTGTTCTCATAAGCAATCATTGCTTGGTGAGCTTTCTTGATGTGCTCGACAACTTGCTGCAGCAATCTCTCATACTGCACACCATACTCAAGTGTGCCTGGAGTTGCAGAGGGTCGGTTTTCAGGTAGGAGGAAGTCCAGAGGTGATCTAGGCTTCCATCCCAAGTGTAGCTGATTAGGACTAACGCCGGTACTGCTGTGTACAACGTTATTGTACAGGCTGGCGATGAGAGGCAACTTCTCATCCCAGTCATCCTGGCTGGGCTTGATGTAATGCCTCAGCAGGTGTTGTACAACTCTGTTCATCTGCTCGGCTTGTCCGTTGGCTTCGGGATGATTCCCGGAGGTCATCTGAAGTTGACTGCCCAATTGCTCAGCAGTCTTCTTCCACAACTCACTTGTGAAGCAGACATCTCTGTCACTAACGATTGACTCTGGCAGTCCAAAATCATGCACCCAGTTGTCCATAAACAACTTCACATGGTCAGTTCTTGCGGTCTCTGGCATGGCAATCAGTCTAGCGTATTTGGTGAATCGATCTATGATGACAAAGATGTGCCTCTTGCCACTCTTACTGGTCACCAGGGTGTCCATGAAGTCCATGGAAACACTCTGTCCCGGACCAGCGGGGATAGGTAAGGGCTTCAGCAACCCAAGCAGTGCTTGAGTTCGCGGCTTATCCCGCTGGCAGACCTGACAGGTCTCTACATACTTCTTTGCATCATCTAGCATTCCAGGCCACCAAAATCGTTGTACTAGATTGGCACTCGTCTTTTTGTAGCCGAAGTGTCCAGTTGCGTCGTGACATTCCCCTAGAAATAAACTACGCAAACTCTCACTCGATGGAACTACTAACCTTTTACAGCCGGCCTTATCAAGAAAGAGTAACCCATCCACCATCACAAACTCACTTTCTGTGGCCTTTTCTTTTGCCTGAAGTTTGCGTATGATGTCCATCATGACAGGGTCTTCCTGATAGGCTCCCACCAACGATTGAGTTACTTCCTGAGATACACCAAACTCAGAAACTAGCGCCCCTAGGTAGTTTGCTCTACGGGACAACGCATCGGCAACCTTGTTGTACTCTCCCTTCAGATACTCTAGCTTGAAGTCATACTGATCTATGACCTCAATCCATCACTTGAGTGCATCAGAGAGAGCCGGTTGAGTCTTGATCCATTTGAGGGTCTGATGGTCAGTTCTCAAGTAGAAAAACCGTCCCAACAGGAAATGCCTCCAATGGACAAGTGCTTTGTAAAGAGCATAGAGTTCCCTTTCGTAGTGGACTTTGCCAATTTCTTTGATGGCATTTTCTTGCTCATGTACTCAATCGGTCTCAACTTCTTCCCATCCTGCTGAGCCAGCACTGCGCCAATGCCGTATTGGCTTGCGTCAGTGGTTACAATGAAAGGCTTCTGAGGATCGGGCACCATGAGAACCTCATGATTCATGAGTGCATGCTTCAATCGTTTGAAAGCAGCCTCGCACTCATCACTCCAGTCCCACGGCGTGTCAAGTCGAGTTAGATCAGTCAAAGGAGAGGCGACTGTAGAATAGTTCTTTACGAAGTTCCTATAGTAGCCGCACGTTCCTAAGAAAGATCCAACCTCAGTAACAGTCTGAGGTCGTGGCCAGTCCCTAATACTAGCCACCTTCGCATCTTCCTGCCTAATACCTTCCACGGATACTTCATGTCCCAAGTATAAGATCTTAGTACGTCCGAACTCACACTTCTCTAGGTTGACCTTATACTTGTGTTGTCGCAAGAGTGAGAGTACAGTCTCAACGTGTTGTGCATTGTCTTTTAACAGACTTACTAAAGCTAAGAATATCGCCCAAGTAGACAACGACAAAGTTATCTAAGTGGTCATGCAAGATCCTATTCATAGCGTGCTGGAATGCACCCGGCGCATTGCAAAGGCCAAAGGGCATCACTACAAACTCATACAGACGGTATCTGGTCTGAAAAGCAGTCTTGTGCTGATCCTCGGGTCTTATTGCGATCTAATGGTAGCCGGACTTCAAGTCTATCTTACTATAGTACTTACATCCCTGCACCCTATCCAATAGGCCGTCTATGCGAGGTAGAGGCTCTGCGTTCTTCACTGTGATGGCATTGAGGCCTCTATAATCAATGCACATCCTCAATGTACCCCCTTTCTTTGGTACAAATAGTACTGGCGATCCGTTCTCTGTCAGCTCTTTCAGTTGTCGCCGAAGTTCATCCAACTCGGCCAGAGCCATCCTGTAGATCCTTCCCTTTGGGGTTTTACTCCCTGGAATGATTTCTATGGCGTGGACAACCTCCCTTTCTACGACTCCTGTAGGCTCCGTGAACAAATCAGGGAACCTAGCAACGACGTGTTCTATCTCTGGGGGTGTTTTAATGGCCGCCCCTTTCTCAGAGACATACACTAGGTACATACCCTCCTCTTGGTTCTGTTTGTAATAGTTGTAGAATGCTGATGCACACAAGCAGCCATAGGTATCGATTATGCTACTGGCTTTGAATTTAGTCAGTCGCACTGTCCTTCCATCAGGCAACTTATGTTTTAGCACTTTCTCCTCCCAATCAAACTGGGGCTTGGCAACCTCAAGGTAGTACATGCCTAACAACAAGTCGAATGGTAAGTCGTTGCTAACTAGGAACGAAATCTTATGATTAAGTTCCCCTCCTCCATAGGAGAAGGTACAGACTACATCCTTGAGATAGTCTGTGACAATCATGCGCTCCTTATTGGCCAAAGTAGATGCTCCGGGTCTACTAAGGTGCTGTACCCGGTCCTTTAGGTGCAGCCTTTCCAAACAGTCGCGACTGATGTAGTTCCGCGTGGAGCCGATGTCTATGAAGGCACCACATTTGCGGCCTCCTACATCAACTTCCACAACGAAGTGTTCCCCTCTAGGACCTTTCCTTGGTGCCACCCACACTCACTTTCCAAATCTTCTAAGGCTTCAGACACATCCAACATACAGAGCATGGTTTGGTCTGGATGAGTCTGCAGAGTGACTAAAGAATCATTAGCTATGGCCATCTCATGAAGTGAGGAGGGTATCTGGCCCACTTCACCATGAGTAGAAGCAGCTAAAACTTCCACCGGCCTCACGTGTTTCCCGAGCTAGAAGCCTGGGAAGAAGGTGCCCCCATCTTAGGAGGTATCTTCTGCGTGACCTTTGCGTTCTTGCACTTGTACTGGGTGTGTCCGTATTCACCACAGTTAATGCAAGCACCACGCACTCTTCGGTCCCGCCACACTTCTTGATCAAGACCTGCCTTGACCCAATCAGCAACTTTGCTCTGATTGGAGGCGGCCTGCCCTTGATTCTTTTGATGGCCCTTCCCTCGGCCACCAGCCTTAGTCTTAACTACCGCGGCGAGGGTGCTACCCTCAGCGATCTCCTCGCCGTCGTACTCTGAATAGTCCAGCAGGTTTGTGAGCTCGTCGATCTCAGTTTGAGTCCCATCGGACTTAACCATCATCAACTTGCTCCCCTTCTTCTTCCATTCTCGTGGACTCCTCTTCTTCCTCGCGTCAACTGAAGTAGGTTGAGCACTTCCTAGAGTGGCCTCTAAATCTAAGGCTTTTTTAGACAAGGTCTCAAATGAGTGATACTCTAGGCGAGCCTCGCTGGCCAACAAATTTATGAGATTCTCTGGGAGACATCTCACAAACGTGGTCAACAAGAACTGGTCATCGTAGTTTATGCCAGGAACAACGATTAGGCTCTCTACTGTAGTCGTAAGCTCCCTGACTGACTTGAACTTTCTTTGGTCTAGTCTGTTTATCCCATCAGTGGCAATTTGTGCCTGCTGTGGATTGTGCCAACGAGCTTCTACCATTTCTAAAACTGGTCTAACGTAATGGTCTTAGCCCAGTCCGCCATGCGCCGTCCGTACCCGGCCTTTGAAACTAAACCATCCAGCCATTTGGCTGACTTACCCTCAAGGTAAGATGCAACAGTAATCACCTCCTCCTCCTGCAAAGTCCTCTTCGCCTTTACCCATACTGGAACCGTTCTCAACCATGTGTTGAGTTCCTCGTCCTTCTTCTCTCTGGAGAAGGCAAGGGGCGGTTTCATAGGGGTCTTTGGGTACCATTACCTTGCTGCTGTCCCTGTTGAGGAACAGGTTGTTGCGGTGATGGTGTAGCAACCACCGCTAACCCAGAAGAAGAAGAAGCAACTGTCTGTGCGGCTGCTGCAGACGTACCACTTGGCTGTGTGCCAGCTTGTACCGGAAAGGGGCCTGACATCGCCGTTAACGACAACGGTGACAGTGCTGCTGGCCGGAATCCTGGCCTTTGCAAAAGGTTCAAGATCTGGTTTAAAGAGTTCTGCATGAAGTCCAACCTGCTGTCCACATGCGCATGCAGCGACAGCATGCTGTTCTTCAATATTTTCACTTGGTCAGTCATGGCTGACTCATCCAAACCCTCCAATGCAGCTTTGTCTGCCTCTAACGTATCAAGCCTGGCTGCTCTTCTTTTGATCTCATTTTCTCTGTCGGTTGCTTGCTTCAGTTCCCTCTCTAACCGCTCGCGAATCCTTTCGACCTGTTGGAGCTCTAGGAGCTCCCTGTCGCGTGGGGTCAACGGGCTTAACTGCGATCCCGCCATTTGACTTGTGGACTGACTAGAACTTACTGCCCCGGAAGTACCCGTGGGCCCAACGGGCATTCCCAACTGGGTCCCAGACGAGGACGCAGACGAGGACGCAGCAGAGGACGCAGCAGATGCTGCGCCGTTAGCCATTGCTGATGCTCTGGCTGCTGCTGCCTGCTCTCTAGCTGCTGCGTTTGCTGCTGCCAACACCTGACTTGCAGCTAGTGCTGTTTCCTGGGCTGCTGCTAGAGCACGGGCTCTGCATTCGGCACGAAGCCGTCTTTCGTCTTCCGGTTGTAAGGCCTGGAACACATGCGGGACCCTAAGTGCCTCCGAACGTGTCAGTCTCACGTCGTCAACTCTACCTTCATCGGTGTCTGACCCGCTCATTAGTTAGGCAAACACTATCTGCACTACAACCCCCTGCTGGAGTCCTATCGCAGCATGTGTCTGACCGACACCTAATTTTCTAAAAATAATTGTGTCGGGCAGATTCCCTACTTGACCGATCAAGTGGCAGCCGACAGCATTCACAAAAGACTGTCTACATAGTTTAGTTTTGTCCTGATTAGTTCACTTGCAAAAGTTTGCATAGAACTAGCTATGGTAGTATACAACAGTCCTACTACTAAACTGTCTGCGAGGTATTAGCAGTCTGTCAACCAGCTAATCAAAAACAAAAACAAGACCAAGACTATGTTGCAGATGTATGAACAGTGGGTGTGGTTGTGTTTTCCAGTTGAGCACCAATTAGAACCTACCCTCCCCTCAATCCAACATACCGGTAAGCATCACTGAGCAGCGGTGTCTTCGTGTG